CCGGCCACCGCCGGGGTCAGGCCCGGCCCCACCAGGCTGCGCGGGCCGCGGCGGAGCGGGGCCGGCCCGAGCGGGGCCCAGTTACCTCTCCAAGGCCAGAAACGAGAGAGAGATTCCCCGGGCTTTAAAATGTGAATCTCACAGAGGCGCACCTAGCTTCCTAATGGTTTCGTAGGTTGTCAATTCTCAGCGCTAGCCAGCTATTGGTTTTTGCCGGGCACAGAGGGAGCTCTTAGCAGCTTTTCTCAGAAAAATATTTTCTGTGGGTGGCTTCTTCTTTCCTCGCCAAATATCAATTAACGCATAACCAGCACACTAAATAAACTTTTTGTTACTCTGGTACTAATTTCTGAGCACTGTTACCATCCCACTAATGCAGACAGTTTAGGAATGCTGAAGTTCAGGAATCATAGCACCAATGTAATTTCCATTTCTACCTTAGCTAGATAAATGGTGATTAATGTGTTTTTACTGTTGTGAGCTGTGATGGGGATATGAGGTCTGGGCATTTTAAGTGACATGATTTTGGCACAGGCAACAAGAAACTAACCAAAAAAATGTAAGTTCATGTGTAGTTCTGCTGCAATAGCTAGTGTTTATAAACCACTATTGAAGTAGTACATTCAAAGTATTTTCTGTCTCAAAGACCTGTAAAAAGAAAGTTAAAATACTTCTATACAAGTAAAAGCGTAACACAGAGCAAGATTTGCATGACATGTTTTGCTATGAAAAATGTATGTTTTAATTACATGACCAGAGTTTAAAAAAAACACCAAAATTGTAGTTTCACTTTTCAGTTGACTTGTTTTCATCATATTTCCTAATACTGATGGGTTCATTTAGTCTGCCTGCTGATTCATTCATGTATTAATGGAAAAGTCTCAGCATTTATCCTTCATTAATTTTTAAGAGCATTTCTCATTATTTTGTACTTGACTACATTAAAACAGTTCGTACTTCAGAAGTCTCCTTTGTTTTTTACAGTCTTTGTTGTTTTTAATAACTTAATAACCTACTTTTATAAATTTTTTTTTCTTTGTTATCCACTGGACATAGTCCACACAGATGTGTTAGCCAGAGCTCATATTTCAGATGCTGGAGAAGATGAAAATGACAGATAGCTTTGACCAAAGTTCACTGCAGAAGAGTATAGTTTATTATTAGTGCACTTCCAAGGCTGTCAGCGGCCTGGTCACTTTTCTGAACTAGCAATGAAGTTCCTTTCTATTTGTTCTTAATCTAATTTTGTTTCCCTTTTTGTTTGCATTTGTTATGATGGTTTAATGAAAATTAGAGGCCAGAGATTATTAATGATACCACAGAAATTAGAAGGAAGCAATATTTGATGGGCTTTTTTGTCATCACAAAAATGTATTTAAGCATAACCTGAGAAGACAAATATTTCTCTGTTCCATCTATGAATTTTTCAGCTGCCCTGGTATTGCCGGATTTCTCTTGCTGTAAGTGTCATATGTGGTAGCATTTCCTTTCCAGCCTTTGGCTGGAGCCCATCAATTTTGTTACTTCTATGCACACACAACTTTCTCACTTCTTACTTGTAGAAACCTTTAAGTAAGCCTCATCTAATATCTTCATGGTCTTTTTTGAGCTTTGTCCACCTACTTATTATTAATTTGCCTAAAACTGTCATTTTGTCTTTGATAGTTTGTGCATTAAATTATGAGCTTTTTTTTATTCGTTAGATTTAATTTACTTAATTCATTATTTTTTCATCACTCTGCTCACTTGATAATGCAGAAATCTGTATTTTCACTGCTAATCCAATTCTTCTGTACTGTTTCTTTACAAAATCTCATGTATTTGATTGCCAAAGGTAACAGAAAGTAGAAGGGTACACAATTCATCACTTTTTTGCAGTATACTGTAGTGGGAAGGGATGGCCTATGTAACAACTTGGACACTTCATATTATAAAACTGCCTGGATTTCAGGATAATAATAATTAGGACAGTTTCAAGCTTTCAAAATTATTTTTCCTTTTTTTCTTATTGGGCAAAGGGATTTTGTTTTCTCCTCAGCTTGTCTCATTTTGGCAATGGCTTTAGATGAGTTAGCAGCTTTCTCCTTAATCCCACGGTAAACATGTACACATCCTTGACACATACCTATCGCTGGGTTATTTTTGGTTCTTGCTGCCTTTCTCAAAAGTGTAAAAATTCCTTTTCTTGGAAGATACTAATGCAAAACAACATTCAATTCCTGTCTGAATAAATAACTGTAACAGGCAAATGCAGATTTTTTAAAATCTTTTGAATTCCTTGAAGGACTGTCTTTGAGATGCAGTGATACTGGGTTTTTCTTGACTGCATAATTGTTTTTCTGTCTCAGACACCCAAAGCAGTGAGATGCATCATCCATACAGAAATGTAAAACCTTCTTTGATATAACTATAAAGACCTTTCATCTCTTTCAAGGGTAACAAAACACAGACTAACTCTTGTGACAAGATTTCTCTGTTTGAAGTTGATAGTACATAAGTAAAATTTCTTTTTTATTTTTTTCTCCTGCTATAATGGAGAGAAACTATTCCCTGTGATAAGGCGATGATGTTTTCTATTGTAAATTGTGCTTTGACCATTACATTTAATCTTTTTCTGTGCTAGAACTAAACTAACATTTGAGTTCATAAATATGATCTTATTTCAGGACAGAATTTATTTGGGAAGAGAGTAAAAGATTTAAGTTCCCAGGCAATACTAAAAAAAAATAATTGTACAGACAGATCTTCAATATATCGTCTTTCTTCCCTAGTATTTTCCTAACCTCTCTCGCTGGGTGTCCTGGTGCTGCTGATATAAAGAGTGATGTTAAGATTATTTTGTTATTATTTGTGCACTTCTTCCTGTTTCAGAGGAAGAAAAAAACATGTATCTTGTAAAAAATGCCCTGTGTTCTAGAGGGCTGATGGGATTTGTTGGAAGTTTACATTAAAATATTTGGATTTCCCAGGTATTATTCAAAAAATTAATGTACAGTTGTTTAAAGGTAAAATTGAATATTTATTTGGGTAAAAATTAGCATTGCTTCAGCGGTGGTTTGAATAATAACCTTCTTGGAAATATTTTTCATATTTTTACATTACCACATTGCAGACCTAATTTCTAGTTGATTGATGATTGATGTCTTTGTTGCATTGTTCTTATTTCTGCTAGTGAATGAGTTATAAATTTAATATAAAAATAATAATTACAGTTTATATATTAGTCACTTCGGAGGAAATATTATTTTTAAAGCATTGCATGTTTTCCCAAGCTGCAGAAATGTCATTCTTGTAAAAGTTCTGTTATTAAGCACAGATTATTTATACATGGAAATGAAAAGGCTATAAAAAACACCTATGGAATCCAGAATGACAGTACATAGTGATAGAAATCCTCCAGCAAGGCAGAATGCCTGAAGACTAGAGCTGCCAGCTAGCAAAATTCCTTAGAACACCAAGCCTGAAAATCTTCCCTGTTAAATAATCTGTCACCACTGCAAAGTTAATAGACATCTATAGAAAATGAAGAGCAATCCCCTGGAGGTGCTGCTTTGTTCAGTATCACTTGCCAGCCAAAGATTTAAATGGGAACATCCCAACAGGAAAGGAAGGCAGTGAGTTATTGCTGTCTCTTTTAACAGCCACAGAAAGGCTATATGCTAGCAAAATTATTTTGAAATTCTGGTGAGGCTACGGTCTTATGCTTTAGTAATTAATGTAGTATTAAGAGCTGTTAGTTGTATATCCAAACAGTTCTTGTTGCCCCTAGCTGTGGAGAATGAAGTTACACTGGGCAGCAGGTGCAGAAATTTGTGTTACATTTCGTCTCAGTAGAAAAGCTCTGTTGTGCCTCCTGTCTCTGACATACTTGAGTGATTGAATGGCATTGGTTAATGAGAGTCCTGTGAAATTCCTACACCATCCCCCTCAATTCATCTCCTCAATTAACAAAAAACTCTTCTCTCTCACAGGACGTATGTGTGAAGGCTTATTTAGCTCTCCGGCACCACACAAACCTGCTGATCATCCTGTTCTCCATGATGCTAATGACTGGAATGCCCCAATTAACCAGCAAAGAAGATATTGAATATATCAGGGATGCACTGACAGTAGGGAAAAGTGAAGAAGATGCCAAAAAGCATTTTCTTGATCAGATAGAGGTTTGCAGAGATAAGGGCTGGACGGTGCAGTTTAACTGGTTTTTGCATCTTGTGCTTGGAATAAAACAAGGAGTAGAAAAGCATTCTGCTTAATATTTTATGTAAATTATCTGTGGGTGTGAACAGGAGGTTAGTGAACTTACATGTTATTTATGAATTCTGAATAAATGAGCAGTCAAAATTGCCTTTACTCTTCTGGCAGCTTAAATGGATCTTGTAAAAAGGCAAGGACTTTACTCTGCCCCTCCAGAAGATCTTTCTGGAGATATTTTTTTTTTTTCATTTCTAATGACTCTTCAAGTTGCTTAGTTCTTTTAACTAGTTGCTTTGCTGATGTGGCTTGGATTTTTTTTTTTTTTTGCTTTCTTCAGCAATAATTTCAGATAAATATAAGGAGGAGGTTGAGTAAGATGAGGTTGAGAAGATAACCTACAAACCCCCTATGACCTTACCTTAATTGTTCATAGGGGTCAAGTCCTTCAAAACCAGAAGAATTTATATAAAATCTGTGGTTATAGTGAAATCTCTGTAGACAATCCATACCTGTGTCAGGATGGTTTACACACAAGTGTTCTTTATCCACATCCTTCTCTTTTGTCCCTTCCTCAACATTTTGTCCTTTCTGGATTTTTAATATGTTGTCAATAGAGAAGAGTTTTACTCTGCCATTGGAGGAAATTGCCTTACTGTTACTGTAATTTCTTGACACAGACAACCAATCTTGAGTGCCAGGAGAACTTCATAATTACCTGGAAGTTCCTCAGATTTGAACATGAAATTCTGAAGGTTTAATCTTGAAAGATTTTTTTACTGTACTTTTTAGTGGGGAACGTCCATATTACAGATTATATTCTTAGCGTAAAGTTATTAAAACTCCACTTGTATAGGAAAAGCTTTGTACAAAAAAACATGGTACTTCCTTATCCCTCAGAGAAAACTCCTTATGTAAGAGTAATTGACATTTTACCAAATATCTGAGATACCCAAAGTTATTTATTCCTTGGTGATATATTTTCAGGATATACCTAAAAGGACTTAAATGTAATCTTTGAAGTTGTGTATATTTTGCTATTTATTTTTAAATTCCTGAAGAAACAATACTATTGAAAAGCTATTTATGAGAGAAGGAAAAAACCCCACCTTATTTTTAATTTCAATATTTAAACTTAAAAGAGGAAAAAATGAGCAGTGTTAAGTAGAATTGTAACTCTACTGTAGATTCCCTGCAAATCAAGTCTACCTATGGTAGGAAAGGAAAAAAACATTTAGCCTGAATTAGTCTTTGACTTGAATTATTATGGTATACTTCTTGCTAATTGATTTTTACCAAAGAGAGAAGATGGCTTACGATATTGCTTTTTTGCACTTGTGCCCATGAAATTTCTTCCTTCATTGTAGTGTTACATGGGCTTTACATTACATATAAATGATTAACTGAATTTTACAATTCTGTTATCATTTGCTTTGATCATTTCACAGAACTGTTATGATTTTAGCTACTGCTACTACTGAGTGCATTCTTGAAGGATTTTTAATAAATGTACTGTAATTGGTGTCTCAGTTATGAGATGTAGCCAATCTATTCTTGAAATGTAGATGTTTAATTGGTTACTGTGCACAAGTATTTCTGATGTAAATGGTAGACTCCAGTTAAGAAAATCTCTAAGGTTAAAATGTAGACTATTTTGTTATTCTGTTACATTATTATTCTGTGCAAGATAGGCTTTAGATCGCACTAAAATATAAACTAAATGGTGGATATTGTCTGTAAAATATTTTTAGATTTGTATTTTATAGATCTGAAATAAATTGATATGTTCTATTCATTTGATTATTATTCGATATGCGTAAGCAGCTTAGCCCAAAATGCATGGAAATATTTTTTATCCAGTTTCTTAAAGACTACCTAATCTCAGTAAGAAATAATATTCAAAGTCCCACTCAGAGGAATTGTTTTTGTTCCATATTAATTACTCTGTATGATGTCAGATATCTTAAAATTTAATGGTCCATAGTATTAGAATTGCAAGTATTATAATTGTAAAATGTGAATAGAATATTGCCAGTTTTGAAGAGCACTTTATTCATTCCTGGTTTGTTCTATGAAGAAAAGTCTGAAGATTCTAGTAAGTTCCTAGTTTTAAAAAATAAATAGATCTAGTACTAAATTTAGCATGAGGAAGTAAATGCTAGTCACAACTTCAAGGGAAATGGCACTCTTGAAGCAGCCTCCATTTGTAGAGATCTGCACCCAGAGGAAAGTAGTTTAGTCCTGCGCTAAACTTAGACTGACAGTTTTGATCAGCAGTTTCCAGTGTGCTATACTGAGTTGTGTTTGTTGCAGACACCTGAAACACCTCAGGGCTGAGCAAATTCCCAGACTTTTCATTGCTTTCCTCGCCCATGCAGCCTGTGGTCAGTCTGACTGGGCTCTGCTAGGCTTCCTAGCAGAAGTGTCTTCTGGGCCACCCTGACTCCTGGGAGATCAAAAATAGCTGCCAAATCTCCTCCTTACCTACAGACCAAGCTGTGGGCACCAGCATCTCCTTAGAAATGGCTGCACGATCATGCGGCTGATTATCGGCTGGATTTTGCATCCCTCTGGAAACTTCTACCCCCCACTGACCTTGTTTTGTGGCAAGCCCTGACACAAGGAGAAAAAATGCAGAGATGTGGTTTGAGGCAGTCCAGCCTCAGTGGGGAGAGGAGCTGCTTTACAGGTGGACACAAGGACACATCTGCATGTCCCAGATAGAGCACGGCTGTCCCGTTCTGTAGTGGCATTCCCAAGGCCGGGAGAGCTGGAGCTTTAGCACAGATGCTACTGCTGGAGCAGGAGCCTGAACCACAATTTCCTGAGTCTCCCAGGGCATAAACTCACTGGACTTTGAGAATAACTGGTTTTTAAGGGTTATAAACCAGGAAATGTAACTTAGTCACTAACTACTAACCTTTTTCAGATGGTCTAACACAGCATGCAGAAAAAGTAAATGACTAAAATTTTTGTGTAAGTCTCAATTATCATCACAGTTTTCTGTTAGCCTTAAGATTATTTTTTAAAAATTATTTTAAGGGCTACTTTGTCTTTGAGATCTGTTGTATTTTCTTGGTAGTTTCATTCACATTGCAATTGCACCTAAGAGTGGAAATTTAAATCTATTCTTAGAGTCAGTGTCTCAGACACAATTGTGACTTGACATCTGCTTTGGCCCCATCAAGGTCATTGAGATGTGAGTTAGTGTTTGTGGACACACAGTGAGTGAGTGAGTGTGTCCTCAGGGCTCCATCCTAATTATATTCCAGGACAGGAAGAGAAGTTGAAATGGAGCTCAGATGTACAATGTGATTATATTTAGATCTTCATTGAATACACTGGCTGCACTTGTTAAAGGTGCTTAATCTATCATTAGCAGAGTATTGAGATATAACATGTTTAGCAGATTTTTTTCTAAAATGTGATCAGTGATACAGAAATACAGATATGAACAAATAACTTTAGAAAAATATCAATGGAAATTATGATTATTGTATTTTTATTATAAACCTTTCTTCTTACCAGCAGCATTTTGCTAACCCACGAGTCCCAAGGATTATATAGATTTCAGATTCTATGCTAATGACTTTATAATGTAGTTAAAATAAAAAATTATTAAAATCTGGGATACCATCTGCAGGGTCTGGTGGGCTCTTTAAGCATCCCAGCAACACTGAAGTTTCTGGAAAACACTCACATGCTTTCATGAATCTTCTCATTGCAACTTACATAATATGTTCAAAACAACTCCAGAAATAATGAATTCTCCTAGAGAGAGGTCAACAGGGAGAGACTCCTTCTGTGTTAGCCCCTCTTGGCTTTTAGAAGCCAGAATTGGCCCAAAAAGGTACTAATATATTTGAAATCTTGTGACATGCTGACAGAAAGTAAGACTCATGCTGGAGAAAACGGGAAGATGAACTGTTTGCAGTTACACAGTTCATAAGAAGGGCTGACCAAAGATACAAATGCCATGGTTATACCCATGTGAGGTGTGCACATCATTATGTCTTTAGAGAAAAGGGGCACTGGTGACCTGTTCTAATCTCTACAAGGAGACAGGCACAAGACCATGGCTTGTCCAGGCTTTTTGTGCATCATTTGGTGTTGTACCCAGCAAGAGAGAGGCTGTTGACCTGCCTGTTGATAATAAACAAGTGGGCACTGGACAGGATAAACTCCTATCTACCCCTGGAATGGGGGGTTGTTGTTTCAGAGGGTGTCCAGGAGCGCTTGACCTGGCAAGAGCACTCTGCAGGCTCAGGAAGGCAGGTAGGCAGTGTGTGCCATTTCTCAGATATTCTCCTGGGGATGCAAAAGAAGAGGTTGTCACTTTGGAAACAGCAGCAGCACTGCCAGAAACATGTGCCAGTTAATTTTAGCTAATAAAAGATTCCTGTGCATGGCAGAAGTGCTGTATCTTGTAAGTGCAAGCACATCCCACACCTGGGTGCAGTCACTCAGTGTTCAGCATTAGGAGTCACCGTGTGCCAATGCTGGTCACACTCTCAAAGCTGTCTTTGGTCTAGTGCCTATCATCAGAGTTTACCACTGATCCATTTATTAAGTGCATGAAGAAAAAAGACACTGTAGATAGCAGCACTTCTTTGTAAGATAAACAATGAATAGATACGCAAGAGAAGTCAAATCTCATGTAATGAAGAATACCCAGAAAAGATCCCTTAAAGGAGAAATTGGAAGAAAATAGAAATGTTAATGAACCATAGTACAAAACAGTTTTAAGACTACAGCTCAGTTTGTACCAGATGCTCCTTTGCCTTTGAATATATATTTCTTTATCAAAACTAATTATCCTGCAAAAGGCTAAGAGGGCTATGACTGTTTAATAACCTAAGAAATGTGCTGCCACAATGCAGTTCATGATAAAGAGTTCATTAACAATTCAGGATACAGCCAGAACTGAATTTTGCTCAATGTATTTACTGTTAAACAACCTGAGATTAAAAAAAATAAAATTATCTACTGCTTCTTCCCCAAATCAATCAGCAAGTGTCTAGGACTGGCAGTAAACTCATCACATGAGGAAGTTACTTCCCATCATGATGGAAATGCATTTTTCTCTGAAGTATTTGGAGCTGGTCCCTGTCAGATAGTGGACAGGATAGTGGTCTGGACAGACTCTGTCTCTGATGCTGGATGGCAGATCCTCTGCTCAGCTGTCAAATGTCTGCATGAAAAAATCTTGGTGAAATAAACAGGTCCCTCCAGCCAAAGTTATTCTTCATTTTGATGACATTCATGACAGCATCTCTGTTTTACAAACCTGTTTCCTTCCCACAGAATATGATGTATTTTCCAAACCTTGTAAAACAGTAATTCTGCCTACCTGGAGAGAAAAATACCTGGAGATCTCAGTAGCTTTAAAGTAGTCTGAAACCAAAACACTCCAGGCAAGGACCTTCTGATTCAAGGTGATGGTTCATGCAAAGGCAGACAATTATAGGGAGATGCTAATTAGCTACACGTTAATACTTCAGAGGACAGTCTTTGGGATTCTGTCATTGCAACAACACACCAAAGTGTAGCTAAAGAGTGGCCTCTAACAAGACCAGAGACTTGTAGGTCCTGTGGAGATTGATACCAGCTTCATGGGCAAGAGGCAGCCACTGGGGGCAGCTGCAGCCCTCCAAGGGGACTCAGTGGCAGCAGCTCTGGCAAAAATGGGTGTAGAGTCAGGGTTTAAGTGCCAGGATGAACTCTGTGCTCTGCAGGGTTTAGACCTCAGCAGATAGAGTAGGTTACTGAAATGCCCTTTTGTGGGATTCATGCCATTTAAGTAGTAGTGTTGTGAGGACTATTCTGTGAGAATAAATAGTTTATAAAACATTAAGTTTATGCTTTTTTTTTTTAATTGGTAGGTAAAACCATAATATGAATGACTATTTGCCGCTGCTGCTGCTGCTGCTGCTGCTGCTGATCAGGCGCCTAATTCCTCATTTCTCCTCTCTTGTTGCTGTTCCTGGGACTTCAAAACCTAAAACCAGAATAAACAGTCTGTATCTTACAGCCAGGAAATGCACAGCTGAATGTCAGCAAAAGAACCACATGTCAAAATTGCTGCTAGCTGGAGTTGCTGTCAACACCTGCACTGGGAGAAACTTTCTAAAAATTCTCCTGATTCTGACAAGGAAACAAAGAGCAAAAGAAAGGAGGAAAAGCTGTGTGTATATGCTTCAAAGTGCAAAGCACTGGAGGACTAAGCTTTCCCAGGTTTAATGCTCTGTATTCACCCTCCTGACTGCTATTATCAATGCGCTCTAGGTAGAAAAGGAACTTTATAGTGAATACACATTTGACTGGAAAAGCGGATAAACCTTAATGCCATTAAGTGCAATAGTTAGAGAACATCCAAGACGCAAAAAAAGCAATAATGTGGGGCTACCACAGTGTAGTTGTCCTACCTGGTATCATGTATGCATACTGTCCAACACTGTGATCAATTTAGCTAGTGGCATCAGCAACTGCACTTTCTGAGAAGCAAGTTACTTGCTTTCAGGACTCCCTGTAAAGCAGTGCATTAGAGAGCACCCTTTGGAGTACCATCTTCACAAGGAATAGGCCAATAAAAAAGATATATGGAAAAGTCTTTATCATAATTGCAATATCCTAATGTAAAACAGAATCAAATATAAACTACAAGAAATACTTGTATTATTTACAAGATCAAGAGATTATAACCTGAAACTGAATCATAGAAAAACTATTAAATGCACCATTTTTTCAAAAAGGTTTAGAAACCACAGTATAGCTCATAACAACTTGCCAGGACTT